CTCCCAAGTAGCTGGGACTACAGGTGCCCCCCCACAACACCTGGCTATTTTTTGTTGCAGTTATCATTGTTGTGTAGCTGGCCCAGGCTGGGTTTGAACCCACCACCCTCAGTGTATACGGCTGGCACTGTAAACACTGTGCTACAGGTGCTGAGCCATAATTCTTTTAATAATATCTATCTATGTATTTTTTGAGACATGGCCTTACTCTGTCAGCCAGACTACAGTGCACTGATATCATCAGAGCTCACTGCAACCTCCAACTCCCAGATGAAGTGATCCTCCTGCCCCAGCCTCCCCAGTAGCTGGGACTATAGGCATGTGCCATTATGCTGAGCTAATTTTTTCTATTTTTTGTAGAGATGGGAATTTGTTCTTACTCAGGCTGGTCTCAAACTCCTGTCCTCTAGCAATCCTCCTGCCTTAATCTCCTAGAGTGCTTGAATTACAGGTGCAATCCACTGTGCCCAGGCTCTACTTTTAATTTTTAGAGATAAAGTCTTCTTCTTTCACCTAGGCTGGAGCCCAGTGGTATGACCACAGCTCACTGTAACCTTGAACTCCTGGGCTCAAGAGATCCTCCTACCTCAGCCTCCTGAGGTGCTAGGACTATGGGTGTATCTCCTATGCCCACCTAATTTTTAAATATTTTGTAGTCTATGTTGCCCAGGCTGGTCTTGAACTTTTGGCCTCAAGTGATCCTCCTACCTCAGCTTCCCAAAGCACTGGGATGACAGGTGTGAACCACTGTACTTGCTTCATCCCCAATTTTTGACAAAACTTACATTGCCCTTTCCTCCTTTAGCCATTTCATGCTCATACTCTGCTAATGATCTCAAAGGTTAGGTATGGCCAGAGAAATAGGAAACTGGGTGCATAAATACCAACACTGCTAGGTGTAAAAGTGGTTATCGTTACATATGTATTTATTTATTGGCTTACTACCTGTCCCCTCCCACTTATATAAACTCCACAGTAGCTGAGTCTTTGTTTTGTATTTCTAATTCTAGGCAAAGTGCCCGGTATACAGCAGACAGATGCTCAGTTAAGTATTTTCTAAGAATGACTGAAAGTTCTCAAGCTGGTACCTCATGTGTGATAACTTCTGTGCTGAGCCTGAGCCTTTCATCAGCAAGAATCCAACTATCCAAAGCTTAGCAATAGTGGGGAGAAGCTTGAGGCTGGGGCCTCCTCACCATCATCCTCTTCTTCCACAAATTTCTTGGTGACTCGGGGCACCACCTCGCCTTCATCATTGTATTCTTCCTCTGACTCCTCAGCCTCGCTTTCCACAAAATCAGACATTGCAGCTTCTCACAGTCTGGCTGAAGAGAACTGGGGTGGGGTGGATAAAAACGAGACCCATGATTTTACAGAGTGCTCTTGAACTTTAGCCACCTGCCATTGCTCTACCTATTCAATCACTTCCACTTGGGGAGCAGAGTTAGAACCAGATGGCTCCGTCTCTTCTACTTCCCATTCCTCCCAGGGCTGTTCCTCTCATGTGTACTTTATTTACTTATTTATTTTTTGAGGCAGTCTCACTATGTGACTCTTGGTAGAATGCCATGGCATCACAGCTCACAGCAACCTCTAACTCTTGGGTTTAAGAAATTCTCTTGCCTCAGCCTCCCAAGTAGTCATGTGTACTTCTGAAAAGATAGTAATTATACTGGACTTGTATTATCTCTCTACTTCAGGGTTTTACTGCTCTTATCATTTGGAGGTAGGACTAGGCAGAAGAAGAAAGAAATTAGTGTAGGCATAATTACTTGAGAATATGGTAAAGGAATAGAGATTATGTGACTTGCTCATAGGAGGGTGGAAAATAGTAAGTGCTAACTTTTTTTTTTTTTTTTTTGAGACAGAGCCTCAAGCTGTCCCCCTGGGTAGAGTGCTGTGACATCACAGCTCACAGCAACCTCCAACTCATGGGCTCAAGCGAGTCTCTTGCCTCCGCCTCCCAAGTAGCTGGGACCACAGGTGCCCGCCACAATGCCTGGCTATTTTTTGGTTGCAGCCGTCATTGTTGTTTGTTTGGCAGGCCCGGGCTGGATTTGAACCTGCCAGCTTAGGTGTATATGGCTGGCGCCTAAGCCACTTGAGCCACAGGCACTGAGCCGAAAGACACTTTCATATACACTATCTCTGGTGATTAGAGTCAAAGGAAAATCCCTTTCAGTGGATTCAACACACAAATACTTTATGAACTTGAGCCTGCTTGCAGGGGTACTGGTTGGGAGCACTTGGGTAGAAAAGGGGCCATCTAACTTAGAAACACTATAACTATGATTCTATTTGTATCATTTACCTCTCTTGCAAAAAACCTTGAAAGGCAACAATTAAATGGAAAGACTGTTGAGTTTAAGAGTAGAGATCAAATCCTGGTCTTATCACCTACCAGCTACATAAACTTAAGAACTTGAGCGCCTGTGGCTCAAGTGGCTAAGGTGCCAGCCACGTACACCTAAGGTGGCGGGTTCTAATCCAGCCCGGGCCCACCAAAACAACAATGATGGCTGCAACCAAACAAAAGCTGGGCGTTGTGGTGGGCGCCTGTGGTCCCAGCTACTTGGGAGGCTGAGGCATGAGACTCTCTTGAGCCCAGGAGTTGGAGGTTGCTGTGAGCCGTGATGCCATAGCACTCTACCCAGGGGGCAGCTTGAGGCTCTGTCTCAAAAAAAAAAAAGAAATATTCAATGTGTCTGAATATAATTTTAATTTGGAAAATGCCAATAGCACTACCTACCTCACAGGATAGCTGAGATTATATGACACAGGGGAAAGAATCATACTGTTTCAATAAGTGTTAACTAAGTTTGAATCCTAAGCTACTTTTCCTCAGCAATCTGTAATTTTGTAAAAACCAATCTGAACTTTATCTTCTACTTTCCTGCTTTCTTTTTTTTGCAGTTTTTGGCCGGGGCTGGGTTTGAACCCACCACCTCCGTATATGGGGCCAGCGCCCTACTCCTTTGAGCCACAGGCGCCGTCCCTTTCCTGCTTTCATTACTCATCCAAAGCCTGTAAATTAAAGTGGAGAACTCCAAGAATTAGAACATGGGAGTCTGATGGACCTGAGTGGGACTTAAAAAACTGCACAAGTCATCACATGATGATTCCACTTTTGAACCCTGAAACTCAGCACCACTCCTTAGACTGTCCAGTATAATGGTCTATTGTGTATATCCCATGTCCCTTTCCCCTACTTAGACTATAAGCTTCTGGAAGACAGAGACCAACTCCAAAAGAGACTAATAAAAACCACGAAAGCATCAATGGCAGTACAAGAGGCATTACAAGGCACTTTGTGATTCTGTAGCAGAAAAGCTGTAACCCTCTAGGTAATTCTACAGAAATTAGGAACTATTCAGTGCCTGCTAAATAAATTACTTGCTCTTTCATATTGCTGTCATTTTCCCAAATAAAGATGGCAGAGTAGGAGGGAGAAGGGTGGCTAATGGTGACCTGAAAGTCTAAGCTCTACAAGGAGCCTTAGGTTCTGTGACTCTAATTCTCCTGAAAATTGCTCTTACTATTATAAATACCACAACCAATTAACTTAAAGATTAACAGAGCTCAAAAAACAAAACTGAAGGTATTGGGTTGTGATGGAAAAGGAAGGGCAGGGTTCTACCTCAGACTCGTCTTAAGTTCAATTTTAGGCTGAGGTTGCAAAGGACATTTTCACAAGCCTTACTGAATGCCTACCGTGTCCATACATGTTGCTAAAGAGTGAGGATGTAAAGAAAAGCAGGAGTATTTGTTTGTAAGGAGCTGATTGCCTAGTAAAGAGAGAAATATGAGGCTCGGCGCCTATAGCTCAACCAGCTAAGGCGCCAGCCACGTACACCTAAGGTGGCGGGTTCGAATCCCCAGCCCGGACCCGCCAAACAACAATGA